AAGCGAGCTGAAAATTGGAAAAACAAAGCTATGCATAGCCAATAATTGAAAAGTATTGAAGGCAAAGCTGACCAAAAGCTATACAAAGACCTACGGATAGAAATAGCATGACTATGGCAAAGGCAAGCAAGGGTAGTACCAATAGGCACCTTGGGTGCAGTCCCAAGTCAACTGGAACATCACTTGAACACCATAGGCATTGATAAATTTGCCATGTCAATTGCAGAAGGTAGCTTTATTTGGAACTGCTTCTATCCTGTGACAATATCTGTAACACCGTCAAAAATCCAGCTTTGCCTATCCCAGGTCTTTGGTAAGGACTCAATAGGTAGACAAAAATGCCAAACCCAGTCTGAACATCTGGCTGACTATGCGATGATTAATAATAATAGAAAATGAAGACGCTAAAATGCTCTGCCCCAGTCAGATCCTTTAAGAAAGAAAGACCCTGAAACTCTATTTGGGTGAAGTGATAGGTTTTTTTACTAACTTCTTTACTCCAGTAAAGTCATCTAGAACTAAGATTCCCATGGAAAAGGATACAAATTTTTGCCCTCATCCCAGCTCTTGCTCCTTGAGACTTCATCGCTTCAGCCAATGGCGAGCTGCATAGGTGTTTTGAGAACCTTTCAACCCACACTCCATTCTCAGAGTATGTGCCCTTGAAGATTGGCACAAGCTGGTTCCTGGCCTCTCTGTCAAGGTGTCATCCCCCCTTCCTAGTCCCATCATATTCCTCTACAATCATGTTTATTGCCCATTTGTCCCTTTTGTTTCCTCCCCCAATCTTTTGATGGCAGAATGCCAGCAAAGGACCATGCCGAGACTGCAGCTGGCAGCTGCCTTCTGAGCAGCTCCACTGTGGCGCTGTTCCTCAGGTGCAGCAGGCCATTCTCCTGGCCGGGTCTGGCCCTGAGCAACACCGGCAGGCAATGGGATGCATGTGCACGGCCAGCACGAACATGGCAGTGATGATGGCAATGGTCATGGGACTTTTCACAGGACCTGTCCCATGACTGTTGCTGCCATCGCCGTCCTGTTCTTTGCACCGGTTGCGCATGTGTACCTCATTGCTTACCAGTACCCCATTGCTTACCGGTGCCCCTCATGGCTGGACTCAGCCAGGAGAACAGCCTGCTATGCAGCCGAAAATGATGGCTGCTGGAGGCTTCCTGTGAAAGGCGGCAGAGCCTTGCCGTGTAACCACCACCACCAAGGTGACCAGAATGGAAGGTAGGTGAATGAGGTGGCATAATTTTGGGCTCAATTGTGATCATAAGTTGAGGACTACCTGTATTACTATCTTTATTTTAAAATTTTCAATCTATTTTTCTCTTGTCAGTATCATAGATTTTCAGAAATAAAATGCAAATTATAAGTTGCAAATAAAACATACCATATAAAAACTAATTTAAACATAATTAAAGATTAAAATACAATGTAAGAGATACAATTGTTTTTTGTTTTTGTTTTTGTTTTTTGCTCTTTTTTAATTGTTCAGTAAGTTGATACATCAAACCTCTAAGTAACTTTATCATAATTGACTGCAAAGATTATCTGGATTCTTTTCTCTTTTCAGGTGGACTTTTTTAGCAGAAATCAGCCTGTAGAATTGCTAAACACATCTAGAGTAAATTATATTACATGTTCTGGTAAGAGGGAAAGTATCGTATTTTCTTATTTGTTTGTTTGCAGCGAGTTAACAAAATTGGAAGAAAGTTTATTTTCTTTCACAACATTCTCATTGCAAATTATTATAGATTCTGGTTTGTCCAAATATATTTTCCTTTTGACTATTTCCATCATTTTGTATGATCCTATTTTGCAAAAGAAATAATTACATGGAATGGTAACTGCTTGGAAGTAGATAGGACATAGGTGTCTTTAACCTGGTAGAAAATAAAACCAGGAACATCCCAATTTATGCACCTCCTTATACATGCTTTGTTGCTCTTGAGTTAGGCTTAATAGCTGAGTAAGGCTTTTTAAAAATTGTTGACTGTTCTGTGATTGGGATACTTGTTTCTTCAAGCAAATCTTCAAAATAATATCTAGTATCCGCTTTGCAGTAGCTTTAATTTTTATTTCTTGCTGATTTTTTGTCATATTTTATAATTTGATTTATTTAAATGATAATCACAGTACATACTGTATATTACTATTACTAGTAGCTTTTACAGTTAACAAAGAACTTCATCGTAATATATCTCATAACAATTAAAGGTGCTACATATGAAAAAATACTGTTTATGTCAAGAATAGTCATCTTTTTTGAATTCTGAGTTTGAGAATGTGCTCAAAAATTGTTTCTGGAGAGCTTGCCTGTCTTTAATATGATCATTCTGATGCATATACTCCACCATTTTCTGCAAGGCAAATTGATGTGCTCCCTACCATCTCATAGACCTCAATATTTCTTCCCCAGATGGGCTCATTTTAAGATATAGTATTGCACTGCTATTACTTTGAAGAAAGTTTTCTTGACAATCTCTTAAAAATGGTTTGGATAGCACTACAGTAAGATGGGCACACAGTTGACTAGCCAACTTTAATAAGATTCAGATTAGTAGCTCAACATTAGATGGAAAACAGGAACTAGTGGGATTTTGCAGGACAAATAATCTTCAACTATAATGATCTGGATAATGGGACTGATTCTTTATTAAATTTTTGTGGATGATAAAAAAAACTGGGAGGTCTGGCATTGTTTAGTAATGGAATTTTCAATCTGAATTGTAGTTGTGAGTCGAGGACTACCTGTATGTGGTTGATATGAGCCAGAATATTGTCTTAATATCCCTTTTCCTGGATTCCTGAGCACATTCATGCAAACATCTCAGGTTTGAAGGACTTTTTAATCCGTATACATTTGTTGATTTGTTGAGTTTTAAGGATTTTATAAGAAGCTCAATTTATCACTTTTTCAAAGAATTTGTTGCCATTCTAAGGCATGAATTAGCCTTATCCGTGAATTAGTGTCAAGCCAGTTTCCACCTTATAGTTATTTTAGAAGAGTTATGATGGCTCCATTAAAGTTTTTTCTCTCATGTCTTAGTGCCCTTTGCTTGGTGCAGTAGTCTTTAATATTTATTCAGTACTATCATCTTGACCTTCAGTTAGGCAGTAAGATGGAATTGTGATTCTTCTCTGTGGTAGTCTCAGAAACCTAGGAGATCAGAAGCTCTGCTTGTATAAAGATGTATTACATAGAATTCACAGAAGTCCAAAGATCTATTTACAGGTTTTTGTTTTGACTGTAACAGTCACATGCTCTAGTGTATTACATTTATTTATTATTCTTGAAAATCTTATCACTTGCTTTTTATGGTGAGTCATTATTCAAATTCAATATATCCCCTTTGCGTTTCATATTAAAATTGCCACTATAGTTCTTTTTCCCTATTATGAATCTTACACTGTGTTTCCCTGAAAATAAGACTCAATCAGAAAATAAGCCCTAACGTAATTTTAAGCAGTATTTGGAGAAATGGAAGAACCAATTATCAATGATAGGAAGAATAGCTACTATAAAAATGAATACATGGACAAAACTAATTTTTTTGTTGCAATTCCTATAATGTTAGATAAAAAATTATTTAATGAATTGAACAAATTAATGTTGAAATATATATGGCAAGGGAAAAATCAAGAATAAGATTGAAAATATTGCAAGAATCTAAAAATAATGGGGATTTTGAATTACTAGATTTTTTTTGGTATATGTTTTATTTTCCCAATTTATATCCCCCCGCACTTATTGGGGTTCTTCCATATGCATCTCTTTATTTTTAAACAGTAGTATTCTCTCACAATGATTCTTTATCACTTTCTCCAAAGATATATTTAAACATCAATTACTGTATTTTTTGGAGTATAAGACGCACCTCCCCCCCTAAAAGAGGGTGAAAATGTGGGTGTATCTTATACACCAAATGTAGTCCTGCCCACCCGCCGGCCCCCACCCTTTGGCCTCTGCCTCCCAGCAACTTGCCTCCTTGCAGCAAACAGTAAACAGCCTGTTTCAGCTTCAGCTTCAGCATAGCTTGATTAGTACAAGCAGCTGATTGTCGGTTGGATTGGCCTCCTGACCACCAGCTGTTTCAGGTTGCAGGGATTGGCATTGCCTGTCTCCGCCTCCACATGCCCCATTTTTGGCCTCTGCGCATCTTATTCTGATCCCCACCACGTGGAATGGGCAGAGGCATGTGGAGGCTGAATACGGAGCATACGGAGGTGGCAATAGGCTATGGCAATCCCTGCAGCCTAAAACAGCTGATCGTTTGGAGGCCGATCCAACTGACAATCAGCTGCTTATGCTGATCAGGCTGTGCTGAAATTAAAACTGAAACACACTGTTTGCTGCAAGGAGGCAGATTTTTTTTCCCCTTGGTCTAATCAGGCTAAACTAAAACAGGCTTTTTGCTGTTTGCTGCAAGGAGGCAAATTGCTGGGAAGCAGAGGCAGATTTTTTTTCTTGTTTTCCTCCCCAAAAGCTAAGTGTGTCTTATACTCGGAGCATCTTATACTCCAAAAAATATGGTACATATCTTACAATGTGTGTATTGACCCCTATGAGATCACTAATATTTTAATATTTTAAATTATTCAAATTCCACCAAATTCCCAATATCTCAGTTTTTTATAGACACCAATAAAACCATTTATTAATTTTTTAAAAAAATCGGTCTCAGGGTTATGTCTCTAAATTTCCTGAATTTGTAATCCTTAAAGCTCTTCAACATCTGATTGACGTTGCAGTGAGAATGGCTGGAAAATAGTGGAGCTCCGCCAGGCTCTGTGAAATGTAGCCGGCAATTGCTTGTTGGGAGACCCTGCAGGGTTAAGCCACCCTGGAGGGGTGGTGAAGAAAGGAGAGACACTTCATCGATCGCGAGGAATTCGCAATTTCCTCATTGAGCCGAAGAAAGCTCTTCTGAACAGCAGCAGGAACAATGGCCATTTTTGGTCAGTCACAAGATGGGATGTCTGAAACACTAAGATCTTGCGCTGGAGTGGTATGTGGACAGAGCAGTGAAACTGGGTGAGAAAATTTCCAACTTCAATCTTAGAGATTTAACCCAAGTTAAAAGCTTCAAAAACTGAACTCCAAACACCAAGAAAAAAGTAGTGATTGTATTTATGGAGAATTAAAGATTAAAGAAACTAAAGAGGAAGATTAAAGACTGAGAAGTAAAAGAAAAACCTAAAAGATTATTTAAACTGCAGAAAGCTTGGAAAAGCCAAATAACATTGTGAAAATTGAATATTGCTTTTCTAAATCAAAAACTCCCCACCCCCCCCCGGGGACTGGGTGACAATCAGCTGTTTTTGACTTTTATACTTAGTTGAACATTGGAATAGGGAGCAGAGGACCCATCTACTGGTGGAAGAAGATTACTGCAACATATAGAATTTAAAGGATAATGATGAGAGAAAGTAAAAATATCTGGAACCTACTTGACCTTGACTTTATCTTAACAGATGATTGGATGCTGGGAAATATCTATTGAGCTCTTTGAAAATTTATAAAGTAAACATTAAAATATGATTGGAACTCCCTCTCTAATTCTGATGTAATAGTACACATCTTGCAGGTCCAGTTTTGTGAAAATCCTCCTCTTTGCCAAATGAGCCAACATGTCCTTCATTAGGAGAAGGGTACATCTTTTTTTTCCAGCACACAGCATTGAGCTCACAACAGTCTACATAGAAATGAAGAGGCCTGTCCTTTTTTTCCCTAAACAGGACTGAGGCAGCCACTCTGGATTGTGCCTGTTAGATAAAGTTCCAGGCTAAGTTCTTGTCGATAAAAAGACATAGCAAT